GCATTTGTAACAGCATCAAAAGCTAAATGGAGAATAGTCTTCATGTGAAAGCTGCCAAGCAGTTCTCCTCTCCAAATATTCCTCATGTATGTACATTTGTCTTAAATGGAAGAGATGACGTGCTTCTGTCCTTACTGTAAATGGAACAGGGACAAACATATGGCTTACATGGATGGCTATGTGCTAAAGTTTTAAAAACAGAACTAGGGTTTTAGAATGGTTTCTTAGGAATCCGTCTCTCTCTCTTTCTGTTTCATCCTCTCTCACACACATACTGTTGGAGGGAGCAACTCAGCATGCCTGGACATTGGGGAGTGCTACATCACTCCAGTGTGTATAGGTGTTATCTCCTTGAACAAGATGCGTCTCTTTGTCTTAATCTGCCCTCTGACCCCTCCTCTCTCTCTGTCCTCTCACTCACTTTACATGGCCTTCCAAGGAGGGACACATATCTCTGCTGGTTTCTCCTATAGATACAATCCCCTCATACTCCCATACACACGATGCAGGGTTAGCTGGCTATTTGTGACATGGAAAGTTATATTTAGATTAGGCTTCTTTCTCATCTTTTGACTGCAACCTGAATGTGAACTGGACCTACTTGAAGAAGAGGAGATTGGATTTATACCCCGCCCTTCACTCAGAGTGGTTTACAATCTCCTTCCTTTCCTCTCCCCACAACAGATACCCTGTGAAGTAGGTGGGGCTTAGAGAGCTCTGAGAGAACTACTCTTGAGATAACAGGCCTGAAAGAACTGTGACTGGCCCAAGGTCACCCAGCAGCTGCATGTAGAGAAGTGAGGAATTTCTAGATTAGAATCCGCAGCTTTTATGTCTGGGCAAAACTCTTCTATATTAACCAAATATCCCAATACATACACCCATACAAACATGGACAATTTTACAATACCTCCAATCTCCACCCAGTTGTCCCTCAACCATCTGGCAGCTCTGTTGTTTGACTTTACAGCCCAGATGCCATTAGGACCTGGTGAGACAACCTTCAAACTGCCGGGATAGCTGAGCAGCCCATCTTCAACAACGGTAAAAGTAGCATTATGAGAATTCACACCAAAGACTTGTCCACTGCCAGCATCGATTTGTGATAACTTTCCTTCTATTGAGTTACAGCGTAGAGATGAATGCAAACCTGAAAAAGTAGGAAAATAGTATGGCATGGACTCATCAGCAAGAAGGAAAGCAATGGAAGAAAAGGACAGAAGCTGTGGGATTGGAAGAACATGGAGACTAGCTCCTCGTGAATGCCTTCTATTTGCTGTTCTTGCGCTTCTCTGCATAGGTGGAAACATTTCCAATCTTAATTAAAATAGATAAGGGCTAGTTAATTTTAAGTTGTTAAACATGGTATTTTAGTGTCAATCACTGCACAAACATAGCATGCATATGTGCTGTCAAGTTGCAACTGACTTATGGTGACCAGAAGCAGAGGTGGTTTCCCCTGGCCTTCCTCTGCAGAGTCTTCCTTGGTGGTCTTCTATCCAAGTACTGACCCTGCTTAGCTTCTGACATATGACAAGATCAGGTTATACCATGCCGCCTTTTCTCACAAAGGCCAGTGATCTCCTAAAAAATAGAATTCTCTACAATGTGAACAGCTTCAGATCAAGTCTTACTTTTGCTTACAACACGCATTACCAAGTATATAAGGGTTGGTTTAGGTCCCTGTCTTGTGTCAGACATAACATAATCACACATGAGTTGTGGGTTCTCCTCAATTTTTGCTAGTGCAGTGCAGCTAGAATCAGGACCATGATGCATACTGAGAAGTAGCTTCTATATTCTCCCTGCATTATATGCCAGACAAAACAGTCCCCAGTGGGGGAGCTTTTGGATCTGTTGGGGAAACTCACACGTACCTCCAGAGAACACACTGGTTTCCCCAGATGAGAACCCCCTGGGATAGTTTCAGGCTTAGAAAATGGTACAAGGGGAAGGCTGAAGCCTCTTCTTCAGGTGTGTCACTATGGCCCTGATCTAAATCAGGTAACGTATACATGGGAATTGAAGAGAACCCACAACTCACACATGATTGTATTACATCTGACATGGGGTGAGAAGGTAGATCCAACCTGTCTACTCCATAATATGTGAAGAGGCCTCAACACTGATTCAACATGACTGAACAGACTTGCAGGTATGTGATGCTATCTTGAAGCAAGCATAACATGGTGACTACAAGCTGGAGAGTGTGAGGACTCATATGGGAGGGGAAACCCCATTGTTCCACTCCATCAGCTCACTTCTTCAATCTGACCCTTTTGCCCTGACCCTTGCCCCGACTCTCTGCCCCACTGGCTCCAGCTGTTCTTTCCCTCCTGCCTTTGGATCCTCTTTCTCTCCCTCTCTGCTTACTCCAGCTTCATTTCCTTTTCTCAATATTCTGTTTCACTTTCTTCTTTCTCTCACCTTCCCCTATAACTGGCCTCATCTCCTTCTTTACAGCCCCCATGGATTCTCCTCTCGGCTCTCTGACTTCCACTCACTGTAGTATAATTCGCCAAGGATCCTAATGCTTGGCAGAGGACTCTAAACCCTTCTCCAGGTTCCCCAGATTCTCCTGTGCTGATACGGAGGGCCCACTGACTCCCAAGAAGAAAACACTGAGGAAATCAGTGGGCTTGAGCAGGAGGGAGAAGCATGTGAGTCCTGCTCTGTGAACTCCATGGGTGTCTGGATACCCATCATTGTTGTTATTGTTACAATAAGTTAATCAGGGCTATTTTGGGGCAGGAACGCACAGGAACGGAGTTCCGGCTGGCTCCTGAGTTGGCCACACCCAGCAGGAACTCATTAGCATAATAGGCCACACCCAACAGCAGGAACTCATTAGGATTGGCTACAGTAGGCGTGTGTGGCCTAACATGCAAAGGAGTCCCTGCTACAAAAAAAAGGCCCTGGGTTTTGACAACAAACAAGGTAAACAGAATAAGAAGCAAAAGGTAGGTGTGGCTGGATGACCACACTTCTGGCAACACGGGGCTGCGGCCTAATATGCTAATGAGCTGTGGTGTCGGGTGTGGCCTAATATGCTAATGTGTTTCGGCTGTTGGGTGTGGCCTATTATGCTAATGAGTTCCTGCTGGGCTTTTTCTACAAAAAAAGCCCTGAAGTTAATTAATAATTGAACGAGTATTCTACTCTTGTCTGTTCAGTGTAGGTAGGCTCACAGAGATAGAAGAATTATTTTATGTAAAGTCTGAATTGTTGTTTACCTGAAGTGCTTCCCCACAAGGCTAGCAGGAGTAACAACCACTCACAAAACCTCCTCATTGTCTTCAAAAGATGCCTTTAAAACTCTGCCTGAGGCAACAAAGAAACAGAAGAATTTATGTAGCACCAAATATTCCTTCCCCAAAAAAAGCAAGCGGAGATGGATACGCAGAGTCTGTCCACTTCATGATATCGTACCTTTGCATAAAGGAGTGCTTTGCAGGGATATTTCTTTCTTAGCTGGAAGCCTGACATGTTGAAGTGCTGGCAACCACGTAGGAATGTACTCATAGTTTGCAGGAAAGAGGACTGACCCATAAAGAGAAAACCCGAGAGAAGAGTGGCTCAGATTAAGTGTAATGGAAATTGACTGGATTTTTAAACTTTGATCAGTTTAATCAGACCAGCTCCGTATTTCAAAGGCCAAAACCCCCCAAAGGCCTGTTTGATCGTACAGATACCCATGTTCAGTTTTCTGCATAGGAATCAGACAGACAGACCTGTCCGTAAAACAGTTTGCAGTGGTCCAAGAACTCAACTACAAGAAGAAAGCTGGTAACCCCACTGCACAACAGCAGGTTGCACACTGATCACTATAGCCATTGGTCATGTTGTAACCTCATCAGTCGGTTGGCAGTATCTGTGTGATGTGGGTTCTGGCCCGCTGCCATTTGTTTAGCTGCTATGTGAACTGTTGCTGGCTAAAAAGTAAGGTTTACTTTCCAGTCAGCTTTCCCTTTCCTGAGATTTGAAGTGGTTGCTTCTTGTGTTGTGCCTAGGTATTCTTGCCTACTGAGCTCTTGAGGAACTGATAGAATCAACTTCCGTGACCATGTAGTTGCATGTTCCATTGGTGTCAGCCTTGTGCATTCCTCCTGCCTGGCCAAAAGATTGTCTTCCACATCCTCTGAGACAGGGGTCATTTCGTAGAAAAAGAGCTGGAGCTCATTAGCATAACTTATTAGCATATGCCACACCCCCTGACATCACCGGAAGTGTGCACCAGCCCCTCTGACAGGCAGAAGCACCTGGGATCCATTCTTTCCCCCCTCTCCCTTCCCTTGGCCTCCAAGTCGGGCGAAGGAAAAGGGGAGGGGGAGGATCTCAGGTGCTTCTGCCTGACAGAGGTGCTGGTGTGCCCACAGCCAGCCTGGGTGAATTATAGAATCATAGACTCATAGAGTGGGAAGGGACCTCCAGGGTCATCTAGTCCAACCCCCTGCACAATGCAGAAAATTCACCAATACCCCCCACACACCCTAGTGACCCCTGTTCCACGCCCAGAATATAATTTAAAAAAACCCTCCAGGATCACTGGGGGCCAAAGTGGCCTGGAGAAAAATTGCTTCCTGGCCCCAAAGTGGCGATCAGCATTTCCCTAGGCGTGTGAGAAAGGGCCATGAGAACTAAGCACTGATGCAACCCTTCCTGCTCTACCTCTTGTGATTTGCCTAAGTTCACACAATCAACATTATGATCCTTTTAAAGTTGAAAGCATGATATAAATGCAAAGGACTATTTGTAAGATTATCTGTAAAACACAAGACCATTGGTGGCATCTCACTTCTGGCATTCGCTTGGAGAGACCCTATCACTCAGCTTCCATTTCCCCACACACACCCCACACTGGAATAAGAACATAATATCAGGCCATACCACATTGCAATAAAGCCCCTACAACTATATACAGAAATACTGAGCTT